TTTTAACTTCGCACTGTACGGAGAGTTTGCCAACTCTCCGCACTGTGTGAAGTTTTTTTTTTTTTTTTTATACTCCGCACTTTGTGAGGACAGTGTCCGCACAGATTGTGTGGACTGTTCACATAGAGTGTCATCTCTCCGCACTGTGCAGAGAGATTTTTTTTTATTACTTCCCAATGTATGGAGAGTTGCCGAGAGATTTTTTTTTTTGTTACTTCCCACTATATGAAGAGTTGGAACTCTCCGCACATGGTTTGTCATCTCTTCACACTATACAGAGAATTTTTTCTTCTTTTTTTACTCTGCACATGATTTGTCATCTCTCCGCACTGTGTGGAGAGTTTATTTTTATTTTTTTTAAAAGCTCATGTGCGATTTTTTTTTTTTTTGCTCATGACAGTTTATACTTACTAAAATTATTATTATATTTTTAATACTAGTGGCATGATGTGTGGAAGAATATTTGTTTGACATAATTATTTTTTTAATGCTAGTGGGATGATGTATGAAAGAATATTTGTTTGAAATAAATAAAATGGAAAATAAAAAATGACATTATGCATAGTAAAATTGGTTTCATTTACTATTGCATGAATAGTAGATCCTCCCTTCCCTTTTTATTAGAAGTTAGATACAACCCCATTTACTGATGTTTCTCACAAATTTTATGAACAGAAGCATCCCCAGTCGTTCGAGATTTAAGTCCTTCCATTTCATTCATTACATTTTAGGTCTACAAATAAATTAGGTCATAAGCAACAGATATTTAAACAATTAACCAAAGTAATAATGAAAAAAAAAAAAAATTTACAGTGGATGCTCTGTAGCAATTAAACATAATGATTATCACCCAACACAATTTGAGGGAATGTAAAATGACTTTAGAGTGCTGTCAGATTCATCCTCGGATGCGTTTGATTGACCTCAGTCCAAGATGGGGGAGGGGAGGATTCGAAAATCAATTCATAGCTAAAAAATGATGGGACCAGACCAGCTGTTTCTTGGTACCAAATCAAATTTTGATTGAAATTTGCCCATCTCAATAAAGAGTAATACTATTTGTACATAATGATATAATAATTTAATTTGAAATCACTTGTCCTGGCAAATTAATCAACAACATAATTACACACTAAAGCCTTTGTGGACCATGGACAGTCGAACTGGTTGAGCCAACCAGTCCAGTCTAATCCCGATTCCAAAGCGCTCAGACATTGATTTATTTAGGCATGTCTACTTTTTTCATATATATTCCTACAAACATTCTTGAAGCTTAAGCTTACATGCAAACTATAGAAAAGAAATAAGTGTACCATAAATATATAAAGAAAATTCACTTGCTCGCTGATCCTAAATTTACAAGGCAAATGTTCACCAAGCAGAAAAGGCCTCAAGCTACCGTTCTTCCGATGTGAACATGTTCCATGCTTCCTGAAGATAAAATGAAGCCACAAAACATTCAAATGATTTGAACAGAAATGCTTGTTGCATCAAGCCACGACACAAATAGAAAGATAGTTTTTCACATCTTTTACGTAGAAAAATAATCGAGTTTTGTAATTCCTAAAAATTGAATATGCTAACATTTGACTGGATCATAGAGAGGGTAAGTTTCAGGACGAAAGAAATTCAGTCATACTGACATGAAGTCCAACATAATGCTAGCCGTGTTTAGGTTTTTATTAGCCTATATTTGGCTAATGTTTATAAACGGCCAAAACCACTTTTTCTCCACACATTTCAATAAGACCCACAAGTAGTACTCACTTATCCAACAATTAGTTCTATATATACATAAATGAGTTGCCATTTATTAACACTTCCTAGACAAGCTTTTAGATGGAAACATTAGCAGCAATATCAATATGGCCTCTACGATCCATATTACCAAGGCATCTTCATTTAACATATGAGATAACAAAATGACAGTTCAAAACCAACAGGCTACACAAATATCACATAACATATTTCTATTGAAATGTCGATCTCCACATCTAAATCATGAGATTGAACAAGATGATGATAAGATCCACGGTCAGTTATGTGGGTAGTTTTAATGGCAATGTGGGTTATCAAAATTCATTTCATACGTGCACATTCCAAATTGCAGACAAAAGCTAATTCTAAGTTTTAGATATTGACAAAACTGACCTAAGATGTCCCCTGCCTTTTGACATAAATAACAGAATATTACATATATGCAAACTACATCTCATGCACCCACAATAAAATTGTTTTTTTCAACTCAACTGCCAAAATGAGCTAATTCTGCTTTGAAAACAATTTTAAAGTATCCCACATCTTTTTACACACTGTACCAAGTCAAGCTTTACTAAAAGGGAAAAGTTGGACACTGATGCATGTTTGCAGTTATATAAAACAGAAGTCAAATATACTAAAGATGTAACCAATCTAAAGCAATTACAGACTGATCAAAATTGTACTTTAAAGATTAACGATTTTGAAGTGTTCATTACATCAACATTCTAACCATTCAATATGTTGATACTAGAAAGCAAATTATTATCAAGCTTATTCCTGTATTTTAATGCATCCTAAAATTGCCTTAGTTCATTGAACAGCAGAATGAGTAATTACATAGAGAGAAAACAAGTGACAAACCTTTAGAAGATCAAAAACCTTCTCACATGTATATTTTTGTTGAATAGTTGCACCACGCTGCTGTAATTTGTCAGGGTGCACACAAAGAGTGGCTTTCCTGTATGCTCTTTTTACAGCTGCAGAAGTTATAACTTCAGTTAATGGGATCGGCTGCCAACCACTATTAGGCCCAAGGATCTGTCATTGAGGTAAAAGTTCAAAGTTTGTCATTGTTGAAGGAGAAAACTGAGTACTATGATCAACACATCATGATGAAACAGTAAAAAAACAAGTGAACAATCAAAAACGAAAAACTAATGATAACTAAATTATAAATTTTGGACCCTTGAGTTAATCTAACCAAAAATAATAGGTTAATTTGTTTTGTCCCTTTGCTGGCGTAAGTAGTAATTTCTGCCCTTTCTAAAGCTCTCTCAACTTATTCAAGTTCTCAATATTTTGGGGTTGAGAATAAAAAATTATTGATTCAGAAGCCAGTTCCACAGCCAATGCAGATACCTTACAATAAGGGAGAGAAAAAGATAGTGTATAGGATACACTTGTTTGTTTATTATTTCTTTTGTCATAATAAATCCGGTGGGTGAACAGTTACTGTTATTTGTGCAACTGGGTGTGGATAGAGTATAGGTTCCTGAAAAAAATACAAGCCTTAAAAGGGCTATTATAAGATGCAAAAGAATTTCACTGCAAATCCAATCCAGTTTTGGACATAAAGCAACTGCCGATAGACTAAAATAAACCATTCTGAAGACAACTAGACACAAAATGGGTAGTTGGTCCGATTTCAAATTTTTGACACTGGATATAGAAAACTGGAAAAGCTATGCTCAAGGAAAAAACAAGAAAGTCAAAGAACAAAACAAAAATTAATAAAATCCTTCAGCTGATTGATTTTGAGATGGGAACGCCAAAAAAAAGGAGAAGGAAAATAATAAAACTTTTTTCTTTATAACTTGCTGCTTTCCTTGATCTCTGTACGTGTGCCACTGGGTAGACTGAAAATTTACCCTCATGTCACAATCAGTCTGCCATTTTACTTTACATGTATGGTGAAGAAGAAAATGAAAGAGTCCACAAACAGCTGCGGAACATTTTTTTCACATATTTAATATTATGCAACACACTAGCAGAAAGACAAGTGAAATAAGCAAAAATAGGGATTCAGGTGAAACCTGAATTGCAGAAGCTATTTGTTCTGTCCAATGTTTACCCAGAAATAGCATCGACAAAAAAACTTATTCGAAAATTACACCAAAAGTTAAATTTACTGTCACGAAAACTTATCAAAAGAACATTACTTGTGACAAAGTTCATTTTCCAAATCTGCCGTTTCGTCCTAAAATAGGATCCATGACACTGTATAAGGCGGCCTCTAATGAGAGCTTGTTGTGCAAAGCTTACCAGCAGTTTTGAATCCATTTAAAGGCATATACAATTTGGTAATAAAGGGAGAGAATTTAAATCAATGACGGATATGAGAGTTTGTGACTAATTCATTTCATTCTTGATTTTCTTCAAGTCATTATTTTCCTGATGACGAGATACCATACTTCTTACCAGACTGATTTCATTCTTGATTTTCTTAAAGCCTGTCGTTCTTTTATGTGAAATGGAAAATAAAAAAATTTCAGTGCCTAAAAGCTCCATTAGATTTCCCTTCAGTTTCTTTGCATTGCCATCTATTTTGCCAACCCCAAACAATAGAATTGATTATCTATCAGATCTTTGTTTGTTTCCATTCATCTCATCTGAGCCCCAAACACATTGTTAAAGTCAGTTCAAGAGCATGAACCTGTTATGGCTTATTGGATTTGGAAACCTCGGGAACCATTCATGGTAACTTCATGATTACCCCTTTTCCCCCATTTCTCCCATCTCATATCAAAGGACAGGTTGAAAAAGTAAAGAAAATGAACAACAAATAATATTCATGTACAAAAGTAAATCATTTAGTATTCAAGTCATAGACAAAGACAAAGACATGGGATGACCATACATATTGCAAAGTCGAAAGCAATGCACGGAGATTTCCTTCTTTTCCACTTGACCATCTCTTGACCTCAACATCCAGAGTTTCCGCAACTCTCTGCACATTTAACATAATTTGACGTGAGATCATATGGGATATTAGTTATAGATCAGATTTTACTCAGGTAAAAGGATGCATACATTCCTCTCTTCTTGTTCTCTTAGAGCAAGAAGATCACGCATATTTTTCTCTGCTAGGGCTTTAGCCTAAATGGCACATGGAAAAGTTCAAGATCACCAAAAAGAGGCAGCTCAAAAGAAGAATATAACTCCAAAAGGGAGTGATAGACATAAAGAAAAGTAGGCACGCACTGCACGCTCTGCTGTTCTCTGGTACCTCTCTAACCGAGCTCTACATCTCTGAGGTGATTCACCTTCATCACCTACAAAGTTGTAAATGTATGAGCCAGCAGCCAAACAAGCCAAAACGCACTTTCATTGGACTATTCAAGGCAAATACATTGTGGTAAATCAAAAGAAAGATCATCATTTAGTTCTCATATATATTAGCAAATGGATGCTAACCCTAAACAGAGGAATATTACTTTAGCCAAATAAATCACATACCAACATGTGCTGAAGAATATGAATATCTCAATCCATTCAAGTTTCCTGTATTTCGGAACTGACGGTCATGAAGTTCCTGCCAGTAAAAACACATCAACCATCTATCGAAATGTATTAGAGCAATAAATAAAATGACGAGTACTCACAGATGCAGCACATCTGGAAGGACCCAAAAATCTATCAGTAATAGATCTTTCTACTTGTTCCTGGACCTCAAAGGTATTCTTCTTGACTAATGATTTTTTAACAGCACGCTGCCACGCTTCTACAGCTGTTCTCTCTACTGGAGTAAGTTCTGCCCTGAGCCTAGCCTCCATTGATGTCCTATCTAATCTTTCTCGAGCATCTGACATAGCTCTTTGCCTTGCTTCAGAAGTAGCTCTCTCCACTGCAGCTCTTTCTGCTCGCTCACGAGCTTCAGCATATGATCTTTCATGAGCTTCAAGGGCTTCTCTGCCCAGAGACATCCTGTCCTTCTCTCTTTCTCTTTCTCTCTCCCTCTCTTCTTCCAATTTTCTCAGATGTTCATTTTCCAGTTCTCTTTCCCTTCCAAGTCTTCCATCTACTTTTCGGTCTTTTGTAGCCAATGTCTCATTCAAATTCTTCTCTTTTCTTTCTGTGCTATGGCTTGGACCTTGTTGGCCCAGGTTTAGTTTTTTTTCTCTTTCTTCTGAAACAACTGATGAAGTGCCTACCATTTTTTTCCCGTTTTGAACCAACTCAGCCACTACGAGACCTGATATGGACCTATCGTTGGTCTCTTTAGTGTTGATGGTGGATAGAACTCCCTTTATGCTCTTCCTGCTCTCTTCTTCGGGAGCAAGTGCAGTCTTACTCTCATGATTAGATACAATTTCAGATGCTGACTTCTCTGGCATATAGCATGTATTCCCCACACAAGCTTCAGCTTTCTTTGAATTTGTAATGCATTCAGGTAGACAAGGTGACTCTGTAAAGTTGTTTTCACCATTCTCATCTTGCAAGCCATCCCTATTCTGAGTAGAAGAGTTGAATTTTCCTTTAAACAGAAGTTTGGTTCCGTCATTGGATTCAGAAACACTGATTTTGCGTTCAGTAACAAACTTTGTATTTTCTTCACTAGCAATGGCTGTTCTAGTTGCTTTCAGTTCTCCGGGGCTATCATATTTCCTAGTCATGGGAGTTTCTAGTAGCTTCCCTTCATTATATTTACATCCTCCATCAAATGCATCAAAATTACCAGTTTCCATGAGTACATCCTTTTCCTGATCATTTCTCACCTCACCCTCATGTCCGTTCACCTCAATAAGCTCAATTTCTATGTCCTGCTCACTCAATTCATCCCACGTACCAGTATCCTTGCTTAAGTTCTCATTCCTTTTAATATCACAAGCTTCTTGTGATCTTTTTAAAATTTCTTCTTCCTTGAAAATCATTACTGATCTATTATCATCTTTTTGTGTCCAACACTCTTTGGGCCCCATTTCACTCTCTTCCCTCCCATGTGCATCACTTAGTCTTTCCTTACTCTCTTGGCTTTCATGATCCCCCCACTGATCCTTTTTACTATTTTTGCTTTGAGCGATTCCTCTGCATTCCATTTCATTGTCCTCCTGCTTATGAGCCTCTACAAGTCTCTCATTTCCCCCCCATGCTTTGGAATCCAGTTGTTCATCTCTACATTTCTTACCTTTCCCAAGACCCACATTAGAGTTCTTATCACTCCTTTCGTGCTTAACAGCTCCTTCCAGTATCTTCTCATTCCCCTTCTGGTCAAAAGTCTCTTTTATTGTGTTATTTTTCTCTTTTCTTTCACGAGACAATTTATTTTTATTGTTTTCTTCTTTTTCACAAGCGTTCTGTTGTCGCTTCTCTCTTTCTTCTTGCTCTAGTTTCTCTCTTGCTCGTTTTCCAGGTTCTGTGTGCTCAATGACCTCTTCAAGTCTTTTCTTGCATTCCTCTCTCTCAATATTTTCTTCAAGTCTTGTTCCTTTTTCCTTCCTTGAACGAGCATCCTTGCACATCATCTCGCTTTCAATTCTTTTGCTGCCAGTCTCCAGTTTCTTGTCCACACTTTCATCAGGGTCAACTAATACCTTTTCACTTCGCCCATGTTGCTGGACCACCTTTGTTTTCCTCTCAATAAAGTCAAATTTGCAGATCATCTCATCCAATTGTACTTCCTCTTCACGCTCCTGACTGCTCGACTTCTTGGTTGCGACTAATCTTCCTTGGTTATAATCCCAATCACAAATGTCCATATCCGTTTCAAGTTGATTCCTATCTTCATCCCATTCCGGAGCTTTCTTTGCCACTTTATTGTTTTTACAGCCTTCCATCAGGTCATATGCTTCAGTGCCCACTTCCTCTTGCAGTCTATTTGAACGTGGCCTCATATTTTCCACCATAATGTTGCCATCCTCTATTTTAGAAGCCCTTCTGGGCAGACTTGTATCAATAACTTCGAATAAATCCGTTGCTTCACTCCATGCAACAGTGTCCACATGTTTTTCGACAAAATGAATATGATTTTTCCCATCTATGGAATATGAAATTACCTTGTTATTCTCAGTCAAACTTCTTTTTTCTTCAACGAAAGGTTTTGGTGCTTTGGCTTCTTTTGCTTGTGATTGTGGCATCCTCTCATCCTTAAATCTGTTATTTACATTTAATGTCTTGCTTGTCTTGCTCTCTAATTCTATGTCATTATCCAGATGCAGATTAATATGACTCTGGAGGCCCTCGTTTCTATCCACTGATTCTTTTGTTTGAGCTTTCTCTGTTGCATCTTTCATGGCTTTGGCAGATGAAGAAGAATCTACTTCCACGTCAAAGAACAGTGACGAACTGTCATTCCGTTCTAAGGTGGAATCATTTAAAGCTTTAAATGTTGCATTTTGTCTATCAGAATCTCCATTTTTAACGGCAAAGGCAGGGGGTGGTCTTGAAGGTGGTGGCCGTCCAGAAGGCTTAGTTCTGAGGCTGATATCAGATATAGTTATAAATGGTTTATTCAGTGTAGATTTCAGCTTGCCATGCTTCTCTAAAAAGTTTAGATCATGCTTTGAGTCACTATTTGAGGGGTGTGACAAACCCTTTATGAATAGTTCCTCTCCTGTGCTTGTCCAACCACAACCCGCACTGCTGTCAAGATCATTAGAAACATGCAAATATGACCTCTCCTCTTCACTCATCTGGGAAACTAACACATCATTAAATGTGTAAGCACATCTAGAAATAGCAGGTAACTGAGTTACATGTGTGGATTCGGTTGCTATACTTTCCATGCATCTTCGGTTAGACATGTGGTAAGAAACATTGAACAGCTTAATGTCATCAGATGACTGGAGATGGTCTCCATTTGACAAGTTGTAGTATTTTCCAGAACTTGCTGAAGGGTCTGATTCAACCGACAGAGACTCACTTTCAGCTGGACTCCTACGTCAATACACAGCCAAAACATTTCACAATCAGAACATTTAACAGTCAGATTTTTAATTTCATATATAATTAACTATAATTACTTTCACAATCAATGTCTTTAAGTCACAATGCACAAAGATAAATCAATAAATAATATCACATCAAATTTATAAAAAGTATATGTTAAACCACATCATCTAAAAGTTTAACTTGTTTATTTAAATTGTCTTCAACGCGCCCCAGAGCAGCCAGACCATCAGCAAATCAACGATTTTGCTTCAATAGCGGGGATGTCTATTACCATAATTCCCATTACTCATCATAATCTGATGTTGCACACAGACAAAATTCTTTAATGCTATATTCATTCAAGTCAATATTAAGATCCACTAAAATTTGGGACCCAAAATATGTGACTTCCATATTTTTCGCAACCCACAAAATATCGGATAGCTTTTCTTATTTAATTTCTTTGAGGGAGGGGATTGCGAAATTAAATGCCTATACCAAATCACCTGCAAAATCTCTCTCTCTCACCCGCGTGTAAAACGCACGGCTGAGGAAACATTTTTATCACTGTCGCCGCTAATTAAATAATATGCCATTAAGGACAAAAAGTTTTTAACAAATTCAAAGATTTTCGTACATCTTCTAAAGCAAATGTGAAAAATGAGTCAGCGTACCATGCCTCCTCAGAGGAATCATATCCGCCGCTGGAATGTCCAACCAATTCCTCATACGACAATGCGAAATCCAAGCCACCGAAATCCCCGAAAACCTCCAAATATTTAAAATCAGGACTCCGAATATCAAAATGAAACCCCGCCTCCTCATCAATTACAGGAAGATCCAAAACCGGAATGGAAGAAGATCGAACCGAGTGAAAGCCACCAAAAATCTCAGCATAGTCCTCAAACCGAGGCGCCAATGTGGAGAGCCCGAACTTCGGTGGGCCCCCAAAAACGTCGTCGTACACTGACTTGTGAGAAATGTATCCAGTTCCGGCGCAACTCCTCTTGGGAAGTGAATGGGAAATGTTTTCCATTACTGAAAATGATTTTCTCAGGGTATTCCTATTTTCCCTCGCTCGAGGATTTTTGTGGGTGAGAAAGTGATAGCTCAGTATGAGAAGTGAGTAATAGAAAGGAATTTTCAATCGAGGTCATTTAACTTATAAATTTACTCTAAGTTAGTCATTTTATTTCACTTTCTTTAAATTTAATTCCCAAACTTATATTTCTTAATTTGATCACCCTACTTTCAATTTTGTTTCAATTTAAAGGGCCTGTTTGGGCCCCATTTTTTCACCAAAAAAATTGATTTTTTAACCGTTATTTCGCTATTCCAGCCGTCATATTTGACTTCTTCTCTCACAGGTGGGCCCCACTTTTCTCCTAACGGTCAAAAAATCAATTCTCAAAATCATTCCCAAACAGGCTTTAAATTTTTCGTCTATAATTGACAACATCTATGACTTGATCATTAAAATCTATCACCTTAACTTGTGATTTTTTTTGCTTGCCATATAAATAATTTAATTAAAAAATAATTATATTTTTTTGTCAGTTGTCTATTTGATGATATGTTCATAATTCATTGTTTAATGCACTAAAATGTATCACAATAGTTAATTAAAAATTCGTTGTCATCTAAATTAATGATGATAAATTATTACTCTTAATAAACACGATATTTTCCACTTCACATACCCAATTGTCCAAAAATAAAAATAAAAATTGTCAACATATTTATTAAGAAAAAGAAAATATTATGTCAGACAAAATTATAAGGTTACAAATTACTTCGATTTTGGTAACAGATAATAAACAAATAATCAAATTGAAACAATACAGAAGTAGAATGACTTCCACTGATATTTCCGAGGAATAAAAGTTGGGTATAGGAAGAAGAATCAGTGATTGGAGGATTAGAACGGCGGACAGAGTCGAAATGACTTTTTTATGCGCGTGTAAAATTGGGGGAGCGTGATCGACACTCTCGTTTAAGAGTGGAAGTTGTAGGACGGGGGGACCATCATTCTTAGAATAATGGCCTTTTTCACCTAATTAAAGTACAAAGTACATTTGGTACCAATTAAAATCTAATTTTAATTTAAATCAAAGTCAAATAATTAATATTAATCATATTTTTCATTAATTTTACAATTTTTAATCACACATTTCAAAAACTTCAGTCACAATGAAAGAAGGAAAAGAAAAAAACGCAAAGATATGTTTAATAGATTCTTACTTATTTTGTCCATGTTTGGATTTCATTAAAATGAGATTTTGGATGAAAATAAATTTTGAGATAATGATTTTTTGAGAATGTGAACTTAAAAAATAAGAAAACGTTTTAAATTTATGTTTAACGTTATTTTATAGGAGAATGTATAGTTAAAAATGAATTTGGAAAACATGGAACCCAAATAAGGGATTTAAGCAATGGCTTCAATTTTCACGATATTACTCGACTATATATGAAATAATTTCAGCTCGCAATATCATTTTTAAGATAAGAAAAATATTGATATAAAAAAAATTGTTTTAATATAATCGATCTAATAAATAATATATTATAGGTAAAAAATAAGTAGTTTTTGGGTGATTTGTTTGGTTCGAATATGAGCGGTTTTAACAATCGAACCATAATCCAAACTATTTCTAAACAGTCGGATAAACACTCAAAACCTGAAACAACATGAATCCAAATCAATGATTTCAAAATTACAGTTCAATAAGATTTGGTAGGTAGGAGGCTTTTTTGTTTTTCTCCTACCATCTAATGTTATGGATATTGATAAATGTATTTTATACATTTTCGGCCCCAAAAATATAGACATGTGATGATTTTTTTAATTAATTATAACCTAATTTAATGCATATTTCACTTATTAGATGAAACTCGATGATTGGAAGTTAAACTGAAAGAAGCGAAAATGACAAAAAATGGTAAATAGGAACCTAATTTTAAAGTTTCAATGATTGATTCGGACAACAAAAATGACCGAAATTGCAAGAGAAGTGGACATAAAAGACTCAATAACCGAATTTGGGGACTAAATTGTACATCCGCAAAAATTACAACCAAACTTTTGGAGAAATTTTATGGAGAACGGCCCCTCCAAGGTGCTATCCCACAGCGGCCAAAGCGTCACACGCAGTAATTCCAAACAGAAAAGGAGGCGCCTAGGCACCACTGGAACCATGTTTTCACTAGAATTATTCCCCAACATCAATTTTAATGCGATTTTCATCCAATTTTCAAACCTCATAAATACCAAACAACTTCATTCATAAAAAGGATTAATCTTTCATACACCAAAAATCATCAAAGATAGGGCAATTCATTGTAGTATAATTAAATGACAATTACAAGTTCTCAAGAGGTTGGCATTTTAACTTTAATTTTTGAAGAAATAACAAGAAGATATCTTGGAGATTTATCAAGAAACAGTTAAAGAGATTCGAGATTTTAAGATCTGTCTTCTTCTCTTTCATCAGTTTAAAATTCAAGTTATATTCTTCCAATTTAAATATGTTTTCTTGTTATTTTGTAATACTGGATTGAGGATATTAATCGACCATATATGAAAAGTTTGTATTTCTTTATAATGATATGTCATTCGTTCTTGAGAAAGAAATATCCCATCAACTCAATGATCTTGATTGATGTTGAGTTGTTTATTAATCAATTTCATCAAAGGAATCATTTTTGAACCATCGCCCTACTTTTAATGAAAGATATGTGAGCCATTGTATCAAGAAACAATTAAAGAGAATCGAGATTTTAATATTCGTCTTCTTCTCTTTCATCAGTTTAAAATTCAAGTTATATTCTTCCAATTTAAATATGTTTTCTTGTTATTTTGTAGTACTGGGTTGAGGATATTAATCGACCATATATGGAAAGTTTGTATTTCTTTATAATGAAATGTCATTCGTTCTTGAGAAAGAAATATCCCCTCAACTCAATGATCTTGATTGATGTTGAGTTGTTTATTAATCAATTTCGTCAAAGGAATCATTTTTGCACCATCGCCCTATTTTTAATGAAAGATATTTGAGTCATTGTATTAATCAATTTTGTAATAGAAAATCCTATTTATTTTGACATAAGTTGTTTAGTTAAATAAATAACCATTTTCACTTATGAATAAATGAAAAAAAAAAATTAATCTTTATATGTTTACTAAGCATGCAAAGAAATATTTATTTTTTGTTTTATATGTGTATTTATTTTCTACAGGAAATCTAAGAACGTATTTGGCAATAAACAATAGATAATACGATGAAGAGAAATTGACTATTAAACACCTTTACATATGATAAACTCAGTAATAGTGACATGTCGCATCAACTAATTGATGAAGAACAGAATAAGTAACTATTTTTAGAGTGTGTTTGAACCCCATATTTATGAAAAATGTATTTTGGAATAATAAATTGATGGAAAATATGTGGTTAAAAAATAAAGAAAAGTTTTTTATTTACGTATAATATAATTTTAATGAAAAATGTATGATTGAAAAGAAGAGAGAGAAATGTATTTTGGAAAAAATGGAAATCAAACTCAATAATAGTTCATCGTTTTCCCATATAGGGATTGTTTGACCCTCATTTTTTTCAAAAAATGAATTTTGAAATATGTTATGATAAAGAATGTGTAGTTAAAAAATAAGAAAAAAATTTGAATTTACTTGTAATTTTATTTTATTAAAAAATGTGTTGTTGAAATAAGGAAAAAATACTGTTGAAGAATATATTTTGATTTAAAAAAAAAATGGGGCTTAAACAAGGGTATAATGAATATAAGTTTTAGTTACATTTAATTCTTAATATTGTCCAAAATTTGCATTGTTGTCTACCCTTATAAACGTGTTTACAAAGATAGGAGTATCAAATGTATAATGGTAAACTCAACACGACTAGGCATGGAACTAAACCATGTTGAATCGAGTTTGTCTTCAAAAGTTGTAGTTGGCCACAGGCCCATAACCTCGACTCATATTCAACTTAAAACATCGCAAAGCAACGATTAAACTTGAATTACCATTCCCAATTTAGAGCTTGTGTAAAAAAAAAAATTGATAAAAATATTAGCAAATTTTAATAAATAAAAACAAAATATGAATAAAAAATTGATAAAAATTATAAATCTCATAAAATTTATTAATATATTTAAAAATTGATGAAAAGTTAAATTTGATCAAGAGTAATGCTACTCGAACAGGGTTTAAAAACAAGGGCTCTAACAATTGTTGCTACCTATATGGATGTCTTTTTCATAATTGTTCAATAATATCGACCCTCACAAAGTGTGTGGATCCCACGTAAACTAAATAATGTTCAATCCTCGAAGCGTATGTGTTCGATCATCTCTTATGTTAACTATTATGTTCCCCTAACTTGGTCGCGATGGCTAAATGCGATGACCCACGAGAAGGAGAAATAATGCAGCAGCCTATCAATCAAACGACAAAGCTTGTTTTATTATATGTTCCGAGTCTTTTGACGTTGACATTTTATCCTTAAAAAGACAAGAATTGTTACTGAAATAAATGATTTTATTCATTCGTGGGATTTTATTAATTTCGTGAATGAGAAATAATTTCTGTCCACTCGAGTGAAATCATGTTAGAATAGTTATTTGAATCTTTAATTATTAATTAAATGAAGTGACCTAAAATTATTTTACATAATTACCAATTCCAATCAAGCACCAAAGCTTGTTTCATAAAAATAGAGCTATAATTGTATTGGCCGTAAAAGATATTGCAAAACTTTGCTAAAAATATTATTTTGAAATAGTAATATTAGATTTATTAATATACATTATAACCTTGATAAATTTATAATCTCGAGATGTATCGATATACTTTTAATTTCATAGGACAATTGCTAAAGGTAGAAAGATAGAATTGACAAATTCGCAAAGATGCCCCATCAATTTTAATTTTTCAAAATGGACAAGCTACGATGGAGAACAGAATTGGTGATTGCGGTACACCGATTCAGGTCAAAACCGAACCAAATCATATCAAATAGGTTTGGCCCTAATCGATTTAATTTTTTAGTAGGGTTTGGTCCCAACTCGA